GGGGCGGGCTGAGCTTTCGGCGGCGGGCGGGGCACGCCGGGAAAGGTTCCGGGAAGGCGGGCCGCCCCCCGAGACCGGGCGCGGAAGTCGCCGGCGCCCGTGTGTCCTCCGCCCGGACCTGCCGCCATGTCGTCGGGGGACGCGGGGCCCGGCGGGCGGGAGGCGGCCCCGCGCGCGGCGGCCGCGCTCTGCGGCTTCTTCCACGAGGCCGGGCATCGGCTGAGGCGCCTGCAGGACCAGCTGGCCGCGCGGGACGCCCTTATAGAGCGCCTCCGCGCCCGCCTGGCCGCGCTCGACGGGGACACGGCGCCGTCGCTCGTGGACGCGCTGCTGGCGCAGGTGGCGCGCCTCCGGGAGCAGCTCCGGCAGCAGGAGGGCGGCGCCGCCGAGGCCGCGCTGCGCCAGGTGCCGGCGGCGGGCGGGGCGGGCGGGCGCTGCCTGCCGGGGGCGGGGCGCCGCGCAGGGCTGCGTGCCCGCGGGGCGTGATCGGAGCGTGTCCCCGTGGGGCCCGGGGACTGGGTGCGCGCCCCGCGGCGAGGGCTGTGGGCCTGCGTGCCTCCGAGGGTGGTGCGGCCCTTTGGGCGTAAAGGCCGCAGGTCCGTGTTGGTTCTGCCGCACGTAGGCCCACGTCGGGTCCGAGGAGCGTGTGTCCGGGTTGGACCCGAGGCGCATGTGCGTGTGCCGGGTTCTGCGGACGGCCCCGTGTTGGGTCAGAGGGCGTGTGCGCATCTTGGGTCTGAGGGTCGTGGGTCCGTGTTTGTTTTCCAGGCGTGTGCGCTCCCTGGCTGGGTCTGCGGATCGCGCGCTGGTGCTGCCCCGAGGGCTGTGAGTGTTGTATGCCCGGGTTGGGCCTGCCCGTGTGCTTGTCTGCGTTTCTGAAGGGTGTGTGCACCGTTTGGGTTCCGAGGGGCATGTACCAACGGGCTTTGAGGTGTGCGCGCGCGTGTAGGGTCTGAGAAGTACGTGTGCCCATGGGATCCGAGGGGGTGTGTGCTTGGGGTTGGTGAGTGTGTGCCTGTGTTGGGTCTGAGGGGCATGAGTTCTCATTGTTTCCAGGAGTGTGTGCGGGTCTGAGGGGTGTAGTGCCCGTGCCGGTTTCTGAAGGGTTTGTGCCTCCGTGCTGGGTTTGGAGCTGCGTGTGTCTGTGTTGGGTCTGGGATGGCATGTGCCCGCGTAGGGTTTTGAGAGGTGCGTGTGTTGTTCTGAGGGGTTTGGGTGCCTGCATTGGGTCTTGGGGGTGCGTACCTGCGGTCAGGTCTAAGGCGTGTTTGTGAGTGTTGGGTCTGAGGGTTGTGTGTCCCTGTGGGTTGTGGGGTGTGTGTTCATTTGTGTTGGGTTCTGAGTTGTGTATTTGGACCTGAGAGTTTTGTGTCCATGTGGTTCTGTGGGGTGTGTTTGCCTGACTGGGGTTTTGGGTTTGTGCCTGTTTGGGGTTCTAAGGGATGTGAATGTGTGTTTGGTTCAGAGGGCTGTGTCCCTTTTGTGCCTGAGAAGTGTGTGCCCATGTTGGATCTGAGGGATGCGTGTGTGCGTGTTGTTTGTATTTGGGGTGTGTGTGCACAGTACACAAGTAAAAGGCTCCTGGTGTGTATGTGTGTTTGTGTATGTTGGGTTCTGGGCCATGTGAACCCCTCCTGTGTCCTGGGGTCCCTTCCAGCCCCAGCCATGGACTCCTCTGCTCTGCTGGGAGTGGTGACAGTGCGGCGTCTGAGAGACTGTCCGGTAACAGACTTAAATCCTTACTTTCCCTCTCCTTGCTGTTACGTCTGTCCGTACAAAACACCATCAACACCCGCACCAGGAGCAGGAGGACCAATCTTCCTGTAACATCTCTTTGGGCGCACCTCAAACACTTGGGTGAACGCCGGTGTCTGCTGCCCACTTGGCCCATAGCTATTTGGGTTTTCGCAGGAAAGAAACCTGACCCACAGCGGATAGTAGCCTGAAAACATGATCTTCCAGGCTTGTCCCTGAAGCCAGATTTTACAGTGAAAAAGAGACATGTCTTTTCTCCTGATTATAAAAGTAATTTTGCATATCTGAAATACAGAGGAAAGAGTAAATAATACAGTAACAGCGACTATAATTCCACAACATGGGGATGACCAGTGTTAAAGTCTTGACTGCCTCCTTCCTGTTTTTCCTTCATATGCAGGACACATGTCCATGTGGTGTGGTTAAATTCATGATGTCTGTACAGCTTTATGTAATATCATGTCAGTATTTCCTCATCTGCATAATTCTAAATGCCTCTAAAAGCCAGATGTCTCCCTCATTCTAGCTCTCTCCTCCTCCCTGGGGAAGGTGGATCGTAACGCATCAGGGCAGAAGGAAAATGTCGAAGCCACTTGGCCTGCACTGCTCATCAGTGTCGTGGATGTCAGGAGCCATTGATGAGGGCAGAGTGGGGGACTCTGTTTGCAGTCTGTTGGCCATGGTGTTCAGCCCACGTGGGTCCCCGACATCCCGTGGTCCCACAGCCTCTAACCAGGTCCCAGACAGCCACGTCATGGTAGTAGTATCACTGGGCCTTTCACCACTGACATGGAGGTTTTGTTTTAGGATTTTTAATTATTTAAGGAGCATTTTAATGATCTGGCATCATGGGCAAGTATGTATTTGTTGCTCACTCCTACATCTGTCTGGAAACAGGACTTGCAGAAGAACAGAGCAGCTTATTGGCTCCCAGAACCCCTGGGTTCGCTGAGGCAGCTGTGCAGCCTGGAGACAATGAAAGGAACTGGCTGGTTGGTCTCATCAGGGGACGTGACGGCCAGCCTCTTAGGATCAGAGACCCTGGCCTGGTAAAGACCGGGGGCTTCCACAGAGGATCTGAGACTCACAAGTGTAGACGGACTGCCAGGAGCCCAGTGCATCTGCGTCCAAGCTGTAGCCAGTGTGTGATGGGCCCAGATTACCTTAAGAATTTTGGTCCTTTTTACCACCGTGGGACTCAAGACCTTACCCTCATTTGTCACATGAGGCTGGATAACTTTGCAAAACTCCTCCAGTTAAGACTTTCCAGAATAATGGCCCTGATTCACCATGCAGCCTGTAACTGCTCACCCCTGTCTCATCACCACCCTGGGTCCTAGCCTCTTGGGTCCTGCCCGGTCCTGGTGGGTCAGCTTCCTCTCACTTCTGGCTTTTCTTTCCCTGTTCTGCCGTGCTCTACTGAGTGGAACAGTCTGCACCCTTCACAGGAAGCTGTGTTAGAGGTGTGTGCGTGTATGTATGTATATGTTTTGTTTGTTTTTGTTTTAACCATCTGTCTCCATACCTCTTTAGATCTTGCAAAACTGAAACTCTATACCCCCTAAACAATAACTCCCATCTTCCATCCCAGCCCTCAGCCTGGCAACCACTGTTCTACTTTCTCTTTCTATGGTTTGACTAGAGACCTCATACAAGTGGAATCACACAGTATTTGTCCTTTGGGGACAGGTGTATTTCACTTAAAGTCCTAAGCTTCATCCATGGTGTAGCACGTGTCAGATTTTCCTTCCTTTTTAAGGCTGAATAATATTCCATTGTATGGCTTGGCTGGACTATATTCCCACCAAAAGTGCACAAAGGTTCCAGTTTCTCCACAACCTTTTCAACACTTGTTATTCTCTTTTTTTGGTGGTAACCATCCGAATGGGTACGCAGCAATTCAAGACAAAGTCATTGTCATTTTGATTTGCAGTTCCCTCATGATAATGATGTTAAGCATCATTTCGTGTGCTTATTGGCCATTTGTGTATCTCTGAAGAAATGTCACGTCCTTTGCTCATTTTTGATCTGGGTTATTTTGTTGTTAGTTTTAGGAGTACTCTTTATATTCTGGATGTTAATTCCTTATCAGATATATGATTTGCAAATATTCCATTCTGCAGGTTGCCTTTTTGCTCTGTGGTTACTATCTTTCGGTGTGCAAAATTTTGTAATTTTCGTTAAGTTCAATTTGTCTTATTTTTTCTTTTGTTTCCTGTAAACTGGGGTCACTGCCAAATCCAGTATTGTAAAGCTTTTGCCCTATGTTACTTCTTACAGTTTTATAGTTCTAGGTTTTCCATTTAAGTCTTTAATCCATTTTGATTTAATTATATGGTGTTAGATAAGGGTCCAACTTTATTCTTTGTGGGCATCCAGTTTTTCCAGCACCATATGTTGAACAGATTGTCCTTTTCCCACCAAATGGTCTTAGCACCCTTGTCAAAAGCCCAGGGTTCACTTTGTGTTCTCTATTCTGTTCCATTGGTCTCCATGTCTGTCTTTATGCCAGTTCCATGCCATTTGGATTACTGTAGTTTTTTAGTAAACTCTGAAGTCAGGGACTGTGAGTCCTCCAATTTTATTTATTTATTTTTCCTTCTAAGATTCTTTTGGCTATTTGGGGTCCCTGCAACAAAAATTAAACAATTTTGATAGGGATTGCATTGAATCTGTAGATCACTTTGGGTAGTGCTGACATCTAAACAATATTAAGTCTTACAATCCGTGAACATAGGATACCTTTCCATTTATTCATGTTATCTTTCTTTCAGTAATGTTTTGTAGTTTTCATTGTACAAATCTTCCATCTCCTCAAGTAAATCAATTTGTAAGTATTTTATTCTTTTTGATGGTACTGTAAATGGATTTTTTTTTTTGGAAATTTCCTTTACAGATTCTTCATTGTTAATGCATAGAAATACACCTGTTTTTCATGTATTGACTTTAATTTCCTGCTACTTGCTGAATTCATTTACTATAACAGTTTGTGTGTGTGTGTAATCTTTAGTTTTCTACATAAAAGATCATATCATCTGCAAACAGATATCATTTTACTTTACTTCCTTTCCTATTAGGATGCCTCATTTCTTTTTCTTGCCTAATTGTTCTGGCTAGAACTGCTAGTACTGTGTTGAACAGAAGTGATGACAGTGGTCTTCCCAGTCTTGTTCTTGATTTTAGAGAAAAAGTTTTCAGTCTTTCATCATATGATGTTTGCTGTGAGTTTTTAATATATGGCTTTTATTATGTGGAGACAATTTTCCTCTATCCCTAGTAGTTGAGTGCTTTTATTGAGGGTATTGATTTTTGTTAAATGCTTTTTCTGTAACAGTTGATGTGACCAAGTGGCTTCCCCCCATTCTGTTAATGTGGTCTATAACATGGGCCAATTTTTTCCTTCCCTCCCTTCTTTTCTCCCTTCCTCCCTCCTTTCCTTACTTCCCTTTTCTCTTCCCCTCTCGTTTCTTCTCTTCCTTCCTTGTCGAAAGCTGTAGTGTCCATTTATTTTGAGAGTATTCCAACCAATTTTTACAAGGACTATTCCTTGTCTTGTGTGATCATTGAAGTGTCGGTTCCTTAGCTCATGCTCAGCTAACGTTTTGGCAGAGTTCCCTTGGATATCATCAGGAGCTTTCCCAGTCTTTACA